ATATAATCTAGTAGATACAAGAGCAATAAATAATTTAGTTCATATAATTTCAAGATTTGGTAAAAGTAATAAATATTATTATTTTGAAGATTTTTAAATTTTTTTAAAATAAAAATTTCTATATTAAAAATTTTTTGATGTATAACTAGTCTACAACTGATTATATCTAAATGATTTTTTACATTTCTATTTATTAGATGGTAAATGGAGACTTAGAGGCATATATTCAGCAATTTAGTTCTTTATTTATACTATTAAAGCTTTAATATTAATAATATAAGAGGTATAGAGAGCAACAAATCAATTAGTAGGTAGTTTTTTTATCTTAGATAGTTTAAGAAATAGATAGAGTTGTACTCTGTACTTAAAAGTGCTCAAAACAATATTTAATAAAAAAGATATATGCCAGTCATTAAAAAAAAATTTTTTTAAGATTTAAAGATAAACATATTTGTTTAATTGTTTTAAATACAACTTAATATATATTTATATTTTGTATTATTATTAATCTCTGGATAGAAATAATTTGATTTTGAATTTCTTTATCAAGTTATTTTTTATACTAATTAAGTTATAAAAATTGTTTATTATTAAATTTTTAATTAAAATTATTTATACTCAATACTAAATTAAATCACTTACTTTTTAATAAAATTCAATAACTGATATTTTAACAATATATACAGTATCTGGTATATACAGTATTCTTTTATAATATAATTAAATGTTTATTAGTTTTTTAAATAAATAATTACCGTAAACCACTGCATACAGTACCCCGGGTATTAATCATTCCACCTGAAAAATTACTTAGGGAGTACTGTTAAAAAATCGGAAAGGGGGCTATTCAAGGAAGGGTATGGTTTACAGTAATATGTTTACAATAATAATTATTATTATATGGATATTTATTTTTGAAGACGGACAGGGATTTTTGAACCCTGTAATTGTAATCGCATTATGTACTGTACATATTTAAAAATGCGGATCGGAAAATGATGCTTGGCATCTATCGCTACGTCATTATTACCCATATAAGTAAAGTCAAATAAATAGTTATAAACAATAAAACCAATCAATACAACTTTAATAAAATAAATGTAAATTATTATAAATTGATTTTTGATAATTTGTTATTTATAATAAGGTATAATTTTCAAAATAAAAATATTTATTATTATTAAGTTAATTTCTTATATTTGTCCCTTATACACAATTCTATTAATTTATAGTATCTAAACTGTAATTAAACAAATGAAAATTGTACACTTTATAAAAGAAAAAAATAATAATTTATTATGGATAATTTTGATTTTAAAATGAGATTATATTACTTGATCTATTTGATACTAGAATAAATTTTTACAAGTTTTTTTTAAAAAAAATGATATAACAATGCCAATAGATTCTCTACATATTCAATACATTTTACAAATAGTTATTTAGAATTTCTGAAACACAATTTCATCATTAAATGAAATCAAAGCCCTCGGCGATTTTTAAAATTAATCGAAAGCGAGATGACAGACAATCAGATTCGTTTTTCCTGCAAATATCCCATGTGTCTTTTGAGTTAAAAAGATTTTTTTCTCATTTAAAGGATTATCAGTTTAGACGTGACACGCATTGGGTTTTTCTTATTCTATCATTCATTCGTAATTTAAAAAATCTATAATACAATTAAAAAAACAAACTAACCTTATTAATATTGATATAAAGTTCATCCGTATTAAGGAGGATGATGACATATGAACTTTTAAAGCAAAAATGGTCGGAACCATTATTTTTGAAGTCGTTATTAATTCGTTAACCTGATGTTCCTAAATAATGATTCTTGTGATTCACACGTGTCCCATCACCACCGAAAACTTTAATGTTGAAGGGGTGGAATTAGGCATGGCGTTGGTTGAACCATCGTAGTCACGAACATCCAAAAGATAATCATCCTGACAAAGACTTGAACTCCTCCATCCCTACAATGGACATATCATGTTGGTTAATGAAATCAAAAATGAGCACACACTTTTGCAAACAATATAACATACCCAACTTTGCATCAATGCAAAATTATCAGGACTGCTTTGGAATTGGGTTAACACGTGGCTGGGGCCCCTAGCAGGGCAAAAGATTTTAAACCAAGTCCTCACCGTTTTCCTCTTATCTGCGTATCTTGAAAAGCTCCTTTCACTATTATTATTTTTCATCTGCAGCGTTTGACGAGTTGAGGTGGAATATCGATCATCTGCACCAGGTGAGGAAGTCGGACTCTTGTTTGTTGGCGATCCATTCATGGCTGAAGATGAAGGTGATGCCGGATCAGACATTGAATGACGGTGCAAATACACACCAAGTTGTATACCCTTGCGAGGAGTCTTTATCTTCTGAATATACATATTCCAATTGGACCTATATTAATCAAATACCAATGTAAGTGGATTCATAAATGAGACATGTAAACAAAAACGCACTGAGCATACCCAGCGTAGAATTTTGTTCCAGAGTAAACTCTTTGCTTTTCTTTCAGTTTCGCGACATCAGAAAACTCCACACTAAACCTAAAAGGAGCAAACAAAGAATACTCTACGCTCCCTCTACTTTCTCCATCTTTCATTACTTTATTTCCACCTCCGACCATATCCTCCAATCCGGTGAGCGGCTCTCCTATGTGAGTTGTGTCATCCGAAGGAATCTCGAAATGAACTCCTGTGGAACTGGGTGGTATCTCGGAAGAGGAAATTCCCAAGGTGCCATCCGTCTCTGCAGCATTTTCGATCTTGTTGCGAAGATCGATTTGTTGCCATAGTGCCTCTTTTACCACATATTCAGGAGCAAAGGGAGCATTGGTAGTGGGATCGCAATCATGTAGAATTGAATTTAGCTCTTCAAAGGTCATATGAGCATAATAAACAGCGTAGGTGAAAATGGCTGTGTAAATTGTTTCATCACTTTCAATATGCACAGACGAAGGGATCGAACATATCGAATTTATCGTACTTGTAGAGGCAGTTTGTCTCGAATGACAGGCATACGAATGATTTGATCGTCTATTCATACTTGGGGAGGTTGGAGAAGCAGGAACGGAATTGTCTGAAGTCATATTAATTAATCCCGATAATTCCGAGTTGTCGAGCGACAAGGATACTAAATTTCGCCTTTTTTGCTCTACTAATAATTTTCTTCGATTACCGATTATATCCCTCGCAAATAAGTACCTCTCGTATTCATTTGGAACCCAAAATGCATCGCTCTCGATAACTCTCTTTAACCACTCTGCGGGTAATGCCAAGAATGCTGGTTTGAGCCTCATGTTATCATATCCTTCTCTGCAAAGATATGTAAAACAAGACTCTGTAATCTTTTCAGAATGGGGCCCATAAAAATGAGATGTTGCGAAAGTAAGATAATGCACGACGGTGTCATCCTTGATGTCCCTTAATACTACCTCCACGCACATTTCGCATAAATCTTGCAAATCAAGAAAAGACGAAGTCGCTAAAAGATTGAGAACCTGAGATGGCAATATGACTTCATCCAATCTTCCATACAAACGACCTAAAGCAATCTCGAATGCATCACGTGTTATATTTTCGTCATCAAATCGAAGCTCAATTGCCTTTTGACCATTTTCTTTCCACGGTCCTTCCAATAACACCGAAAAATAAGGATTTTGGTAAAGGATAATCCTGTGCAAGTGATAGTCCTTGTCAAATGCTTTAATCGTTACATCACTTCCACTTCCTTCAATCAGACCTCTCGAATAAATATGCTTACAGAGATTCATCATTTGACGCAAGACTCTTTGCGGGTCTTGGGCTGGTGGTGGATATATCGACGAAGAAACAATGTCGTTAACATAATCACGAGTGTTCCCACTCTCCTTTTGTGTTGAGCCGAGGAGAGGGGACATAGTAAAGGAAGTCGAGCGCTGTTGGCCTGTCGTCAACGTCATAGCGTTATTAAACCTATTGTTCTCCAGTGTGATTGTGGCAACAGAAGTTAAATCTTCAAGTAGCTGTGAGAACTCGTTGTCGCTGATGTCCTCCTTGAAAAGGTTCGAAATCATAAGGAAACCCGATAGTTTTAGGTTTCAATGTGTTCTCGTATCGGTTTTCTTTGACCACTCTTTCCTTTAAGACTCAAAGAAAATTATTATAATTCAAAGGGTGGCGCCGAATGATTCCTTAAATTAAGCTTTTATTTAAAAATAATTCGGTTTTATTACGACAATTAGAAATCACCAAAAGAATAATAGACAGGTTTTAGGGTGTATGCAAATACTTTCTACAAGTGTCTTAGCCTGACGAGTTATTAAAAAAAAAGAAAAGGAAAAAAAGAATAGTATGTACAAGGTCTTTTACCACGAAAATGTTTTTTTGTGAGACTGTACGTTGCTCGAACCTAAATTAAACGATAGAATGAAACAATAATCGTATCGTATTGGCCGGAAAATGATTACCATCACTTATGCGTATGCGTGTAAAATTATCTAATGTTGATATCGTTGTTTCATTTCTTTGTGTGCAGGTGCAAAGTTTCATTACGTTGTTAACATCAAGATGTAAGCCTATTTTATAGGAAGGTAATGAATTACGCATGTGAAAGGCATCAAAGAGCCCACTTGTAATATGCATCTGAAAAAATTTTAATATCGCAATTCTAAAAAAAAACAAACAAAAAATAATAATAATAATAATTTTTTTTTAAACACATGATTTTTCCAGTAATAAATTACCATTTACATTAAAAAAAAAAAAAATTGATGAAATTTATTACAACCCCTCGAAATCACAAATTGATTGATTTGATCTCATATGTGTGTA